TAAAACACTCTGTGATCGTCGTCTTCTAATCCGAGTTTTCCTTTGAAGACTATGTGGAGCGATGTCATTTGAAGGGCCGTGCGGCTATGTCCGGTTACGGTGTATGCTCCGTCGCTCCTAATGTTTGCATGGAGCGGCGATTATGAGCTTCGTAGATCCTGAGAGATCTGGAAGATCGTGCGTCGATGTTTCTTCCCCGACGATCGCTCTTGAGGTTTGCAGAGGGGTTTCTTCGGCTTAAGCGCCCTGGCTCAGCCCCGAGTAGAAAATTTGACCCCTTTATATACCCGATCAACATGGGAAAAATCTGGGAATTTGTTGATGTCTTTTGACATCTCTCCCTGATTTATGACAGTCTCCCGCGCCGTAGAAAAACTCCTTATTTGGTCATTTTTAGCGTCCGGTCGCTCGGACGTATGGGGGTCACGTGACATCGTGGTCCCTCGTCGATGACCTTCGGCCGACGAAAGTCACCCTCACTAACTACGCAGTTAGTGTGAAAATAAAAACATCGTTCGTATTCTCACACTTCCATAAAATTAATCGATTCTAGACTAATTCGACTCAACATTTCCAAATCATATATAATTTTTTGGGAATAATCCATATAAACTATGCTATAAACAAAAAATTGTAGGATTACTTACTGAGTGTGCCCTGTTCGACGACGCCATTGCTTAAGCTTGTTTTCGTCGTGGAGAGGCGCATCGAATGGCGCTCGCGTGCTTCCTGATAAATTATTTTTTTGCGAAAAATTCGCTGAACTTTGCAGACATTATTATTATAAATATAATTTATATGGAGGTTAAATAATAAATGGATCTTAGTAGGTCTGCTGCTCGTTTAAACTCAACGGTTTGTACAATATCCGCTATTGATCTAGATTCGACCAATCCTGTCGCGACACGAGTGGGCGATGACGTTTTATCGAATTATATATAGGAGGGTTTTTAGCGTGTTTGTACGAATCTGTCGCAATTTTTTCGCCGTCATATAGGAATCCGTACTGTATGAATCCGTTTTATAGGGGGTCTACTTTATATTAAATGTAAGACGGAAAACTGAATTAGAATTTACTGGAGATTATGTTAATGTCTCGCTATAATGTTAATTAAACAATAATATCCTTGAAAATTAATATATTAGTTTACATATAAACTGTGTTTAGATGTTTTATAGAAACAACATATTACAGTAGAGCATCAATTATCCGACTCCCGATCAACCGTCACATCGTTAACCGACCGTTCTAGTCGGCAAATTTCAAATGTTCGCTAGTGATGTGGCGCTACAATATTTGGCTATCTTGGCTACTTTAATATTATTTTTGTTAAATTTTTGCATGTTTTAGACTGGCGTCTAATTACAGAACGATTGATAGCGGTGACCAGACCCTAAACACCGGAGTTCGATCGGGGGTTCGCGCCTCACTCGGACGAGCTGGCAGCAGGAGTTTTTCCGGGTTTTCCTCCTTGCCAATGACGCCTGAATAGGGGCCAGCTTCCCCTCCAAGTCCTCCCGGAAGGCATTCTGTCTCCCTTTCTCGCGGGGGTCGGATTGGTCGTCTTCTATAAGACCGACCCCTCCAAGTCCTCCCGGAAGGCATTCTGTCTCCCTTTCTCGCGGGGGTCGTCTCGTATAAGGCCAGATTTGGTTGCTTTGTGACCTCTCTCCTATCTTCCTCGGATTGGTCGTCTTCGATAAGACCCACTTCTTCGGTCGCTGTGCGACCAACCATCCTGTTCCTTCCGGAGTGATAAGAGAAGAGCAATAACACTCCACTATCGTCGATGAGATGAGAACGATTCCGTAGCCGTAGTTCTAGTTTTTACCACGAGATGCCGCTAGTGTCATGACGTTCAGTTAGCGTATACCTCGTACTGTACTGTGTGCTTGGGATTTTTTGTCGATATTTTAGCTTTAAAACCATACTTTATCATCGATAATTGGTTTTGAAGTTTTCCCGCTACGTTGCTAAGAAATCGTTATGGAAAATATTGCGTTGGATATATTAGAAAATACTTGTTGTTATTGCGATAAGCATTTCTCCTCAATAGGAAATCTTACTAACAAGCATGTAGGTTTAGAACATAAGCAAATCCTGGTGGAGGAAAAGTCTATATTCTGTCGGAAGACTTCATGTTCTGAAGGATTTTCTACTTTCCTTCAATTACGTGAACATCTGGAGAAAGTACTGTACCTGTATAGTACATAAATTTGCCTGTGAAATTGAGAAGCTGGAATTCAAAACTATGAAGGGTAAGTAAATTCTGTTCTGAAATTTAAAAATGCTGTATTTAATTAATATATCTTAAAATAATTGTTTTCATGAATATTAACAGCTCATTCAGTAGTACTGTAATTAAAAATATTATGTACTGTATTTGACAGATTTCTACGAATGGAAAGTCACAGATAAGTTGAGAACCAACTAAAGTTAATTGTGTCGTACTGTCTAAAAATTCATGGAATTTATAAATTCTACTCGTGCGGCTCTGGCACATGGGATCATGACTACGCTCAGTTCAGAAATGTACTGTACTTACAAAAGGAAAACATTCAATAACAGATTGTGCATATGAAAATGTTGCAAATGTATAATTTTCAATAAATCTTTTTCATAAAGAAAACATCTTTCTTATGAATACTGTGGCATTTTTTCTTAGCTAACGTTCAAATGAATCATTGCAGATCTGTTAAATCAGGCTACAAAAAGTTCACTAATATTTTAGTGACGATGATAATTTGTTGATGGATTTAAACTACCAATTCAAAAGACTTTACTCAAATTACACAAGATACACTTAACTCTTGGTATTCGCTAGGGTTAGGTTGTTTAAAATTTCGTGAAAACCAAATAAGGATGCCTATGCAGAAAATTGAGTTTGGTTTTGTGGAACATTTCAAAGATAAACGTTAATTGTGAAATAAAATACTGTATTGCAAATTTTCTAATATAAAACGTTTAAATTATTTCTAAAACGCAATGAATAATTTTATTAAATAATACAAAAAAAAAAATTCGAGTAAGAGATTGAAAATTCAGCAGGAAAATCTTGAGATTAAAGGAATTTAAGAACGAAAGTCTACATATTCCGTAGAATAACTTTTATAATATTCTATATAATTTTAAATATTTTGATAAAGATAATGAATAATAATCACCCTTTAAAGCTATAATATAAACAAAAGACACAGTTGACGTTCAACAAACGAACTAGCAAATTTTGTTCGTAATAAATTAATTCTGACTGTGGTATATACCACCGTCAGAATTATGCTTGTCCAGCTTCTTGACGTCACGAAATAACGACATCTCGTGGTAAAAACAGAACTACAGCTACGGAATCGTTCTGTAATTAAACGCCAATAACTGAACAGACTCCATGTTGTTTCGTAATCGCTGTAGCATTTGGTGTTGTAAAATTACTACTCGAATGCGTGCAGCATCCGCTTCAGCGCCGCTGAAGCACTGCTGAATTTAGCAACCAGCCGTATAATGCAGCAACGTGTAGCTTAGCTATAGCTGCTTGTGATGTCATTTTCGCTACACTCGCGCTACATAAAGAAACGCTGCAAGTGCGATGAACTTTGTGAATTAGACTTTGTGAACTGGAGAGAATACAACGTTGTAAGTAACGTCATTTTCGTAAATTCTGACCCATATTTTAAATGTACAACTATCATCATAGATTTTAACGGACTGAAATATTGAAAAGTATTTTTCCATCGAATTTATTATTCTCTCTACAGAAAATACTTAATTTAAAATCGTCATGAATTTTTGTTATGAATAGTGTATATTGAGAATAAGAGAGGGAAACCCCACGTTTCCGGCGAGCTGAGGAGTTGGACTGCTTATCGGCAGTACTAGAAATCGATGAATCGTCATGAGACTTTTGAATAAGTGAACGAAGTGCGAGCGAAGTGGACGAGCGAGCGAGCGGAAGCCCTAGTTGTAACGTACAGTAAATATGTAAAAGTTTATAATTAAAACTTACATAGTGTCGTCTGCATTTATTTTGCGGCTTTGAAGACTTGTTTTTTATAATAACTGTCTTACACATTAATTGACCACTGTTAACAGGTTAAAAGTTTCCATAAAAATTTGAAGATAGAGAGCTACAACATTATGAATATTACGAAACGATTTTTATTTAAAAAACATTTGACAAGTATAACGAATTTAATAAATATATACGTTGACATCAGATTTAAAACAAACTATAATATAAGCTACAAACTGTGAAATTCTGTCAATGAGGGCGGCCTTCATAACTAATTCCGTAAGGGATCCGTAAGATAGCCCAACTCCTCAAATAGGGAAAAGTCGGGGTCACAATCACCGGGACCTTAGTTCCCGTTGATGAGCCTGGCAAACTTCTTGTAAGATAAAAGAAAGTATTTCGGATAAGTGAGCTTTTGGTGGTGCTGGTGATGAGTAATCGAATTAAACTTTTATTAACGAATTATTTATCCTTGTTGCCAGTTTCATGGTAATGTGATATTCAAGCATGATATTCAAACAATGATATTACTTTATTTGCACAGCTATTGAACACGTGATCATTTACTTCGTACATTTCGCATTCCCATTTTTATTTTATACCTTAATTGTTCAGAAAGATATGATGAGATTCTTATTTAACAATATTGAACTTACTTATCGAATCGTTTTTTTTCTAAACTTCACATAACTTTTAATTTAATATATTGATACTTTCCATTTTCTCAAAATAGCTAAAATGCCTGGTGGTTAAGACGTCAGTCTTCCGCTCTAGAGGACCAAGAATCTTATCCGGCGAAGAAACCATAGGGAATTTTCATGGGCAGTCCGCTCCGGATATGTCGAAATTCGTCTTTCATCACCTAGCCTCTTTGATGGCCAAATGGCCGAGCGGTCAAGGAGGCAGGCTACCGCTTTGAGAAAACCCTGAATAAAATCCAGGCGAGTCGAAAAAGACCCAGAAATTTTTCAGGCGGTAGTCCATCCTGATATGTCAGGCCCCGTCCCTCACTACCTGGCCGCCCCATTTTTGGCCTGGCCGAACTCGTAATGATTTTGCTAAAAGAGGTCCTCTTAGTTCCCAAAGGGCGAAAGTGTTTGAAAACCAACCACCTAGCCTTCCTATTGTGGACTTTATTGAATACACGATGAGTATATGGTATAAAGGCTTTCTTAATGCAACAGTATTTTCATTCTGTGATTGAAAATGAAGGAAAAAATTAGTTATCAAAACAAGAATATTTAATAGTAAATCTATCAGATGCGTACATACATATACCGAACACTATTGGTATACGTATATACTGTATATACCAATAGTGTTCGTATTACTAAAATATTCTGCTTAGTACGAAATATTTAATTTATGGTACTTTTTTTGATCTTTCCGCGCTATGGGCACTAAGTGCCCATAAGAAGGGCTCTTTTTTAGAAATACACATTATGGGTACGGCTAGGCCCACAATAGAGTAGTGAAGGAAGGGCCCGACATATTCGGGCCATCCCCCAAAAATTCCTGAGGACTTTTCAACCCATTCAGGATTCAACCCAGGGTCCAAGAGAACGGTAAGCCGCCACCTTAACCTCTAGGCCATTCGACCGTCGAGTTATAATACTTTCGTGCCACATATAAAATTGTTACTTTCACGACATAAATTTCATATTTAAAAAAAATATATATGATTTACAGTAGACCCCCCTATAAAACGGGTTTATATAATACAGATTCGTATATAACGGCGGAAAAATTGCGACCGTATTCGTATAAAAGCGCTAAAAGAGACTCGTAAAATGCGGCAAAACGTCATCACCGACTCGTGTCGCGACAAGATTGATTGAATCTGGACCAATAGTGAACGAGCAGCCGAACTACTTACACGCTACTGAGCGTTTAGGCGGGTAAGTTGAGTTACTATCGTCTGTACAGTACATAAATTAGATACTGCAAGTCTAATACAGTACTGTAATTTTATACATTTCTTGTAAAAAACAAAAAAAAACATTTCTTATTCAACGGCCATAAAAATTATTTCTATTAATGATGTCTCCAAANTATTTTTAATATAATATCATTTATATATATAAAATACAGTACAAAATTTACCTTTCTTACGACACCTTGCGAGCCTTTATCATATCTATCAACTTTTTCCAGTAGTGATCTCCCTTCCTGGAGTGCTGGATTAACAATATCTTCTATCTCTTGCTGAATTTGAGCAAATTTTCGAACTAAGGAAGAATTCATAGATTCTCCAGATAGCATTCTTAATTGATTTTCAACTTTTTCTAATTTTCTTATAGCCTTTATAATTAATAATATTTTCTTAAAAATTTATTTTATTTTAAAAATTAAAAATTATATACAGTAAATATTATTTACCTGTTGTGCTACAGTAAAAAATGAGAGTGCTACACATAATAAAAGATTTCTATTTTCAAGATGAGCAAAAAATTCTGTGCATTCAGAAAGCATACAATAAGCTTTTGTTTTTACACTTTCAGATAATGGATTGGAAGCAATAGCAGCTTTCTCTAATTTATGTAATAGATGAATGGCACGATTTTGAATATCCTATTGAACAAAAATACATTATTTTTAATATGTATTTACATTTATTTTTCATTAAAAAAGTAATTATTGTATAAAATTCAATTAACATATTTAATTAATAATAGAAACATTTTAGTAAATATTCCTTAGTAATGTATTATTTAAAACTAAACAAACTTAAATTCATAAAACAAATGATAAATTCAGGAAACCAAAACAAACTTGGTATCTAAATATGGATCTTCTAACTGAAAAACTGATAATAAATATAGAACTTTGGCTGAATAAAATTTTATATTTAACTATAAAATTTTATTCACTCAACCATTATAAAATTTTAAAATTTCAAAGAGCTTTCTTCTAAAAGAATTAAAATGTTTTATTAAAAAATTTGTTTTGAGAAATAGGTTTTGGTTTCTTGAATTTCACAATTTTATTATTATTTTAAATAAGATATCAAGTCCAAATAATATTTTTGTTAAACAAAATTAAGTTAAATGTACTGGAAATAATAATTCATATTTGTAACAAAAAAGATGATAACAGAAATATAAAATCATTTACGAGCTTAATGATTTAAAAATTATATTATTCATATATTACACAATATTCAGCAATGATTCTCTTCTAATAATAATTACAATTTTGTTTTAATATTGAATATTTAATTTTAATGAAGTGTGGTCTTAAGACCACATGGTTCTCTATCAAATGGGCTTGTCATGGTTGGAAGGGTTGAGATAGAATCCAAGCTTCTCAGGGCTCAATGACATCAGAGGGACCCAGATCTAGAAGAACGCTTGTGCAGGCCTACAGGACAAAGAGCAAATTTTTGGCTTGGCAAATGAGACGAAAAGATGAGGTAAGAAGTAGGTGTCAAAGAGTGGCAAGGTAGTATTTCCTTTCTTTGTTCTCGAGTTGTGCGTGTAACGAACAGCAAGTGCAGGAGAGATATGGATAATTAAGGTATATATTATGATAACTGAGTCTTGAACTGAACTTAAGGATGGTGAAATCAGGGCTGTGGAGTCGCATAAAAATCTACCAACTCTGACTCCAGCTAAAACACCAAAACTCCACGACTCCGACTACGACTCCACAGCCTTGCCAGGGCTGTAGAGTCGCATAAAAATCTACCGACTCCAACTCCGACTCCGACTTTTCCTTACCATCTGACTCCGACTCCAGCTAAAACACCAAAACTCCACGACTCCGACTCCACAGCCCAGCTTGAAATTACGAGAGTAATATAAATATATTAAGAAAGTATCGTTGCATGTAGTACTGTACTTAATAAATTTAAGTCGGATTTCAATTTTTATTTTAATAAAAATGATTAATTAATTTACATATTTTATAAATAGTTAAGAAAAACAAGAAATATAATCTATTTACTATCTCATTATTTTTGAATTTTTCCTGACGTCATGAATAATGCGAAGCTATAACTTGCCAGATCGCGTGGTTGTGAGTATCGAGCCGGTATGCGGTTTGTAGCATGGATCTGTTTTATAAATTTGTTTTGCATTTAACTCACTTTTTTGGTGTTGTTTTTATCAAAATTGGAATTATATATTTGAGGTTTAAGAACTTATTAAATAGAAAGTTAGGATTAGGTAAGGTGAAAGCGAAATACAGTAAAAAGTTTTTGACAAAATTACCTTCACACATTGGGGTGGTTGTCACTGAAGAAACTATTTCTTATCATGATTTATCAAAAATTATTATTTGGTGTTTGACATTTGACATACCTTATCTTAGTATATATGACCCTGACGGTAAGTTATTTTAATTTGGTTGAGAAGTTCTTGATAAAATATTATTCTGCATAATTATATAAAATAGCAAGTAACATTTCTTCTTATAAGAAAATAAGGTAATGAGATTTTTGATTTCAGGAATTTATAATAATGAGATTAATTATCTCAAAAATGATAAAATTTGAGAACTTTCATGTATGCATTTTAAGTTAAAACAGTTAAGATTGTAGTTTTTATCAGTAATCAGATACTCTTAAGTTACTTTTGATATAATTAATGTTAAAAATATAAATTAAAATCATTATATATGTATTCATTCTAATTGGCTGAAGTGAGCAAATTGTAAACAAAGTTGTTTTATTATTTACTTAAATTCCGGTGCATATGTAATTATTTAGGGACTGGCCAATTATACTGACATACAGTATTTAATATTTAGTGACTGTCAACTCCTTCAAGGATTATTCAACTTTTTATTGACTCACTAAACAAGAGGTATAATTAATATAATTGGTATGTTAATAAAGATGATGATGATGAACACAGTAATACCTTGGTTATTGTCGGTTTCGGTTTTTGTCAATTTTTTCCTCAAAAAATTTGTTTTTGTCGGCATACCTATGTGACCTTGCTGCTAAGTTTGCGAAAACAAACAGCAACCCATATGTTTTCCTGCTTGGTGTGGCGTTGTGTGAGCATTACCCCACATGTCTAGCCAAACAATTCCATTGCTTTCCTTTCCTTTCAGCTCCATTATGGGATGAAAGAAAGTTTTCAGAACTAGCAGTCCTTTGAAGAAGGCCAGGAACGTGATCGAGTTGAAGGAAATCATTGAAAAATATCAGAGCGGCATTAAGATTGCTGAAATCGGCTACATGTATGGGAAGTTGTCATCTATGATAAGTTCTATTGTGACAAAAAAGAAAACAATAATAGGAGGCTAATGTGCTAACAAAACAGAGATTGCAAACAATTGAAGATGTTGAACAGTTACAGTCGACCCCCCTATAAGATCATTGATTTTTCCGTTTTATCTGAATTACATGTTGTACGAGTCACTTAGATTTTACAAATA